TTCGTCGTTCAACAAGGGCTGAGTAGCGGGATTGGTTCTGAGCGAATCAAGTTCGCTGGCTAGTTTTTCCTTCTGAGATCGCAAAAGGTCGAGCTTGTGCCGGAGTTTTTGTGTTTTGGTAGTACTAGTGGGAGAAGAAGGCGAAGGAGAGGGAGAGGACGCGACCTCCGCCGAATCGCCTACCTTGGGTTGGTTGCGTGCAGCGTTGCCAGATGGAGCACCGAGAGCTAGAAATTCCGTCGCGCCAGGTGGTAGCGTTGCCGTTAGTGCTTTGTCAGGGGTTGGCGCCTTGCCAGTTGACCGGCGCTTAGGTTTTGTTGGGGTCCCCGATGTCCTGCACCCTTGTTGCTGAAGCCTGATGCATTTTTCGGTGTGTTCGCGGGAGCTGGGAAGGTGCGGACCCCCGCAAACTACGCACGTTGGGTTGCATTTGTGGGGGGTCATCCCCTCAGGATAAGCGGCCACGTTTTGGCTACAAAGGCTGCATCATTCGGTGACCGGGTTGGGACAGATATCCGCCTGGTGCCCCAGTACGCCACAGCGGTACCACGCTGGCACTGTCTTCTTGTACTCCCTGAAGGGAGTCAGTTCTGCATTATGGTGGACGAAACGCGGAACGTTCCTTCCCGCCAAAGTCAACACAGTTATGTTGGAGTTCTCCAGCTTGCGCGCATAGACTAGTTCACTGCCACGCCACTGCACTAATGTTTCAGGGACGCACTGGTTTTGAGGTTGTTCACAGAAATCACGCCACGACACACATCACCGGTGAGCTTGAGGTGACCGCGAAGCGGCAGCAGTCCTTTGCTGGTGTTGATTTGAAAGTCCGACAGCAGTTTCTGAACCACCTCGTTATTCTGTGTGCCACAGATGTTGATGTTTTGCTCCCAATTGGGAAAAATGGTGATGTCATTCATGTGCTGCCTTCTGACGAGTTAGAAAATGGCGGCGCCGAGCTCACCTTGGAGAAACGCTGTCTTGAGAGCTACTGTGATGCGTGGCTTGAGCACGATCACGTAGTCGCCGGAATTCATCCTGACCGTTGGTTTCGGCGTCCACATGGAGACTGGTGAAGTCTTTTGTGGAGCTTTAGGAGATGGAGCGCGAACGTCTCCAGTGGTTGGATTGTTGAGAGGAGTTTTCAGTGCAGACGCTCCTTCCGCGTTTTTCGGCGGCGACGCCGTCCCTCGACGAGTAGAAAAATGTCGGCTTGCTCCACCGAAATGGTGGGTGGGCCGTCGTCTGATTGATTCGTCGGGATATATGACCACGACAGAGTCGTAGGGTCGTAGCCACGTTGTTCAGGCAGTGCCTTGTTGAGGAGTTGACCGAGGGGCGTCTCCGCATCCACCAGTGGCGGTCCCGCAGCCGTGAGGCTTAGCTCGTTCGCTACGTCGTGATGCGAAGTTGCTCGAAGTGGCGGAAAATTGGGCGCAAGTGGGTAAGATGAGTGTCTCCAGAATCTTGCTGACTTTGTAAATGCAGACGCACAAGTTTTAAAGCAGCAACACTGAAAACAGCACGGTTCCAGCCGAAAAAAATGGCAGCATATCCACGGAGTGAATGATGGGGAGTGGGGCGAAGCATTCGTCCGTCCATTCGTTATTGCTTTCGTCCGTTCATGCGTACGTCTGTGTGACCGTCCATGCGTCCATCCACCCGTCCGTGCGTGCGTCTGTTCGTGCGTCCGTCCCTGCGTTCGTCCATGCATCCGCGCCTGCGTCCGTTCATGCGTCCATCCATGCATCTGTCTGTGTGTCCGTTCGTCCATCTATTCAGCACTCCAAATACAACCATCTCGCATCTTTTCATCATATATTCTCCATATAGAAGCACCGCCATCCAGCGGACATTTCAAGGACTAAACGGGAGGTGGCACATGCACACTTTCTTACGGCTTGCGCTTCGGGTTTACTTCCCACCTTTAACCACCTCGAGTTCATGGTATATACTAGTTCACTGTATTCATGGCTATGCGGCCCAACGCTCGCTAAACCTTTCTAAAACCAAGGAGATTACACCCAGCGAGTATATTGTAGCAACCCTTTCTTGTCAGATCGTGCTCAATGTACATGCCAATAGCTGCTAATGGGGATCGCAGCGTGCGCGTTACCTAAAGGCCGAATGCTCCTGTCTCTCGTTCCCCCTTAGCAGCCATTAACATGTGCATTGAGCGCTATCTTTTATTGTTCAACAACGCACACAAGAAATCTCACACCGAAACCACCTTGGAGGTCAAAAATTTCCCACCGGCACCACCTTGCAGGTCAAAGCGTAAGACTGGTTACATACTATGACAGGACCCGGGACGAACGGGTGCCGCTATAAGGATCTTCGCCCCTAAAAAATTCCCAAGCATTTCTCCGAGGGTGAACATGGTTAAGTGCGAATGCATGGGGTGATGCTATGAGGGGTATTTATTAATTCGCACTATTATATTTATTAATCACACTATGGTGCCTTTATGGTGTAATGGTTCCTGGGAATCGCAATTTGATCACACGGGGGAGTTTATGTTAACTCACTGGCGAATGCCAACAGATTTTATCTTTACTCCCCCTCATAGCATCACCCCGTGCATTCGCACTTAACCATGTTCACCCTCGGGGAAATGCTTGGGAGTTTTATTACTGATGATGATGATTAAAGTGTAAATAATGAATTTAAGTGTTGTTTGTCATGAAGCATTTGTACACAGATACTTCATATACGATGTATTATTTATTTACACTTCACGACGCGTCCGGACGAGCAAAGTCCAGGGCTGGCACCCTCTCCCGCGCGGCACGTTCACTGGCTGGAACGGCTTCGGGAACGTCCACTCCCCGTTGACGATTGCGAGCGGCGTCTTGACGCCGGCCTTCATCGCCCTTCTCCGCCTGACGCTTGCGTTGTCGTTCCGCTTCTTGGGCCGCGTTCGCGGCTCGATGCTGACGCCTCTTCTCGGCCTCGCGAGCGCGCAGTTCACCATCCGCTGCACGCTTCGCCCGCTTGTCCTCGGCCTCGCGAGCGCGCAGATCGGCATCCGCTGCACGCTTCGCCCGCTTGCACTCGGCCTCGCGAGCACGCAGTTCGGCATCCGCTGCACGCTTCGCCCGCTTACGTTCGGTCTCACGAGCCCTTTGCAGCCCCGCCTTGTCTTCCAACGTCGGCGAAACCACCGCGGTACCGTCACCTCCAACGACGGGTGCAGTGCTGGCATTCGGTTGTACTGCATTCGTTGTTGATGGTAGCGTTGCCTCCGGGACATCCATCGCACGACCCGCTCTCGACGGGAGACTGTGAGAGAAGGCGGGCGCGCGAGAGAGAGGGGTGCACGCGCAGCTGCAGCGAGCGAGGAGAGCGGAGGAGCGAGCGAAGGGGGTGGGGGTATAAGGCGCGTTACTGACACCGATATCAGCGTTGCGTCCGTGGCTTATTCAGTAGAGCGTCGCGCTGCGGCCCGCCAAGTCCTCTTTCTTTTGAAGATAGAGAGAAGGCTGCGGACGCCGCCGACGGCGGTGGATGGTTTGGGGCCGCTTATAAAGTGTATTCACACTTAAAACGACAGAGCCGATGAGCGTCGCGTCCGATCTCCGCGCGTCTGCCGTGTTGTCTGGGTAACGCACGGGCACGAAATGCAGCATGCCGCATTTCGCGCCGGTTGTCGTCGGGCCGCGCCGACGTACGCTGGTCGCGCCTGGCGTCAGACTATAGAGTGCTCGCGTTTTGCTAACGTACCATCGCTGTGCCCAGTGTGCGCGCGCATCAACGCTACATTGGAGTACATTGAGCCCTTAATCAAGCGCTCGCGACAGTTTTGTTAGCTCAACATATCCCAAATTCGGTGTATCGATGACGAAATGTATGACTAGTGCAAACATGATAATGCTGACACGTGTGTCAAGTAAGAACAAGACAACATACCAGGCTCATAGCATGCTCACGGCCGTTTCGCTAGCTCCACATTTGCTAAATTTGGTATCACGTGACGTGAATAGATGACGAGTGTAAACTACACATGCAAACATGATAATCATGACGCGGAATTCATGTGCGGCATCGTTTACATCCACCTCATAACGTTGTGCTGGTTTTAAGGTGACATATCAACATTTCTTATTAGTGCTTTGCAATTGATCGATTGCCATTGTACCTGGAATCTGCCAATTTTTGTTTACTAATATTTGAGTGAAGTTTCAAGCGTGGAACAGTTGACGAGCCCCGACTGTCATCTTATTATATTTTGTGTCATAAACTGGTCGACTACTTGGTGCGAAACATCTCGTATCATGACATAAAGTTTTCAAGTATAGTATAGCACGGTGGTGAAAAATTGAATTGTGTGAATGTGAAGAGGATATACAGAAGTAAGACAGAGCATAAATCGTAGCCGAGTCAAGTGCAATATGAGGTGCAAGAAGGTTAAAGATCTGCCTGAAAAGTACACAGTGTACAACAGAACGACAAGAACAAGCACTATCCACGTCGTTTTGTTGTCAACTGTGTCCTTTCGAGCTGGAGGTTAACATAATAGAATACTAACTATCCCACTCCCACACCTTCCTTGCTCAATCAAGAAAGGCAATGAAAGTAAATGTGAGAAGCGGTTCATGAGCCCGAGGAGAAGTCAAATGGAGGTGGGCAAGTGATACAGCACTGAGTTGGTTTGGTATGGTACAGAAAACGTTGGAAAGGTAAACTACGGGTGAAAAAGGAAAGTAGGAGGGGAGAGTGAAGCATAGCATAACCATATAAAGTTTAATCTAGCAAAGCAGAGACAAAGGGTAATGTGAGTTAGGAAGGGGAATGTGAAGATAAAGGAACGAAGAGGCTTATAGTAGGAAGGTAAAAAGGGCTGCTGCGTCCCAGATTATGATTTCCTTTCGCACCATGTACCTCGAGGAGGCTGCATGATTTTGACAGCAACGTCGCCGAAGGACAGGAGAATAACTGTTATGCACTTCCTGCAACTTTCACGTTGAATGTATTATTAAAATATTATTGCACATCTCTTACAGAAAAGCAAGGCTAACACATGGCGGTAGCCCTTTACATTTTGCGGAGGTTTGCCCTGGTGCTGTAAGTTGAATATTAAGTTTTTTATACAGTTGATTTATGCTATGTTTCAGAATACAGCCAACCCCTAAACACAGCTTTCATAGATCCAAGAAGGCGTTTGACTCAGTGGAGACATCAGCGAGATTGCAGGCACTATGAAATCAGGGCATAGACAAACCCTACATAAAAATACTGAAAGAAATCTACAGTAGATCCGCAGTGACCATAGTTCTCCACGAAGAAAGCGACATAATCTTAATAAAGAATGTAAGGCAGGAAGCCATAATCTATGCCTGCCTGCCTGCCTGCCTGCCTGCCTGCCTGCCTGCCTGCCTGCCTGCCTGCCTGCCTGTCTGTCTGTCTGTCTGTCTGTCTGTCTCTTCAGCTGCCAGTGGGCTAGGTAGGTATGTCTTGGCGTTTTGGTGATTATTTGGGAAATACGTACGGCCCCTTCCGTGCGTGTCAAGTGACAACTACGGGCGCTAATCTTTCACTTTTATCTGCTCAATTGACATCTAACCACTTTTACAGCATGAAACTGTCTCGGTATTTCTAGTGGCGTCAAAACAAAAAGCGGTCATATCAGTGACAAAAGATACCTTAGGCTTCACCCTCCGCATCAGACTTGACTAAGCGTTGACACATTACACTAATTATGATTTACTGTCTGGAGGGAGATCAATTGAGAAGCAGGATTACCGATGGAACTCGGTGGTCTTGACTGTTTGGTCGGGGCGTGCGATTGGGGAGTAAGAGAATCAAATTTGAAATAAACAGTAATTACTCCGAATCAAATAAAAAACATGTAGAAACATGTTTAACAGTTTTTGAATGGATTGTAAATCATATTTAGAACAGTCCTGATCACAAACTTTCACCAAAAACATAAGAGTTAGTGTTATTCGACTAAAAACATCACAGCTACAAAAACTAAGGTAAGCTTGTATGTTGCAGAGACTAGAGCCTTCGTGATATTTTTACCGGTGGGCTCAATCAAAGAATTCACTAACGCCTTGAAGGTCACATTTAGTCCCCTAATTTTTAATGAAATTAGGACCTAAAAACCAAATATTTTTCAACAAACATGACGTATACAGGCAAAAATGTGATGAAGCCGATCAACCTGTAATTACGACAAGGCGTATGCACTGAAAGCATGTAACAAGCCACAACGAAAATTACGCGAATGCATTTGTTGTTAGAAAAGAAAACTGAAGCAGTCGTTGTCCCCTCATTCAATTATCACAAGATTAAGACAGGAGCTGATTAGTGCTAAGTAGTTCAAGCTTAGTAAAAAGAAATGAAGCGGAGTTTGAAGAAGAAATACGTTCATTTGGTAATAAATATAGTGTCGGTAGTCTCGTAAAAGCATACGATTCGTGTAGATCATTAACGTAGTAAAAGAAGAAAAAAATACCTATAATTGTTCACAGACTTTTGTTTCGGGGTTGACTTGTCGGTGCTGACTATTCAAACGTTATACGCAAAATATTTAGTATTTTGAATACTTTCAAGTTTGCACTATTCCATTGTTGCACCGAATCAAATATAACACCAATCAATTAGTTATTCGAAATATTCGAATATTTGCGCACCTCCTACTTTCTGGAGGCTGCCATCTTCGTGCGTCTTTGTGCTTCCGGTGGATATTACGGAAACCGGCAGGTTATCTCTGCAATGTTTAAAAATAAAGAAGTGCACACGCGAAGGGCCCACATACCAACCATTGCTGTAAGTCATCATGCAAGAAGCACAGCTAGAGTCCTTGTAGCGTCTTGTAGCGTTGATTTTAACACAGTCACGCCCGCATTAGTACTATCTGCAGCGTAAAGACACTGCCTGGGTACCTTTCGTATCTTCGACAGTGCTGCAAGGTAGTTGTCAGATGGAATATATATTAGTAATGCAGTGGGGCTTTTACCACCTTCATTTTCTTCTCCTAATTATAACATCAGTCTTGCAGGCACTCACAGTCATTTTTGTCCATTTTGCTGTACATTACTAAAAAAAAAACCTTATTCGTGCCTCATTTGCCCTTCTCTTTTTCTACATTCTCGCACTCCAATCTTTCCTCCCCAGTCTTACGTACTTACCCGCACCGTCAGTATAAAATAGAGTAGGAGGGTATTCTGTGCATGGTTTTCAAGCTCCGCGAATTTCTTTATAGCTATGTTACACTACTCCCTCTCTCATTTCTACCCTCCTACGTAACTTCTGCTCACCTTCACTTCTCTTTACCGCCTCTTCCTAAAGAGAGCTATATTATAAATTATTATGCTGTATGCGGTTCTGTGCTGAAAGACGCTAAGCGACATTATATACGACGAGAACTCGGGTACCTGAGCTGCTCCGCAATTAAAGGAAAAGAACGAGCCCTCGTTACTAAAGTAACCAGCAGCTCGTGCGCTTGAGCGATGCTACCATCCATAACGGCTTCGCGTCTGTCACGACCCCATCCTGTGAGCAACTCTCTTCGCTCTACCTTCATGACAAAACCAAAGACGACTTCAAGAGGCTTGTTGACAGTCAGCAAGCGAGAGGTTAGAATTACAAAACACTAACAGCGGACAAGAACAGCCGGCCAAATTTCTACCCAGTAAACTGGCGTTGTATGTGCTTTTTATTTCGTGTCATCATTACTCCGCGTTTTCAGCGGCTTTTAGCGTATCTATCTATCTATCTATCTATCTATCTATCTATCTATCTATCTATCTATCTATCTATCTATCTATCTATCTATCTAGCCATCTACGACTATTAGCTTTCCTGGCTGTTTTGATAATATCATTAATACCAAAATTGGTAAGGCATAACATGACTGTATGACGAGCAATAGTCAGAAATCATAAGAAAAAATCTTATAAATAGTATATCATGACTGTCATATTTTCATTTCATGGTCTTGCTGTTATTGTGGTAGTTACGTTATCATGATATGCTGACGAAAAATTCAGCAGATCCCACGTAACTGGGAATTGGCGTTATGCGAAGCACGCGGAGGAAGGTTGACCGTGTTGCAATTTTTTCATTGAGTGAGAAGTCATCAAATGGCGTAAATATATGTACAAATTTTGCAGGAATAGACATAAGTTGAAGAGTTGCAGTTGTTTATATAAACAGTTCTTTCTACCTGTGCAAGATGCCAATTAAAACATGCATATTTGCAAAAGCAGAAGCTGAATTAAAGCGCTGATGCTCGCGAGGATCCTGGCCCTGCACATTGGTACATTGATCATCTTCAGCGCGTGGTAGCTAACTAAAATTGACGTTATTGCGACGTGACGGCTCTATCGCAGGAGTACATATGTAATGTTTATAAAATTGGCTTGGCAGCTCTGCAACCATTTTTGACATTTACTGAAGATAAGATTAGTATCTATTTAAAAGTACTTCTGAGACTTAGCTCTGTGGTAAAACGCTTCCTTTGCCAAACAGAATGCTTGGGTTTGATTCCAGCTCGGAGTCTGACATTTATTCCTTGCATTCGTCGGGTCGGCGCTACCGATGTCGGGTACATCTTTGCGCTTCCGCGTTAAAATGACCCATGTTTGTTCTCGTCGTTCCTGGGTACAAAATAAGTGTCAATCACCTGCGGCACATAACCGCATACCAACGGCACATACCCACCCGTAGATTTGTGCCACTGTCTGGCGGGAAATGTCTTGAGACATACGCGATGAGATTTTGACATTATTCAATTCTTGACCAGTGCGTAATCTTAGTTAAATCATCTTACCCTCCCATGCTAATTCTGGTTGACGCCGAGTTAGGGGTTGACCACGAGAGCACCAAACATAAGCGGTGAGATAGATAGATAGATAGATAGATAGATAGATAGATAGATAGATAGATAGATAGATGGATAGATAGATAGATGGATAGATAGATAGATAGATAGATAGATAGATAGATAGATAGATAGATAGATAGATAGATAGATAGATAGATAGATAGATAGATAGATAGATCCAAGTCGTTGAAGATGGCTTAGAAATGCTACGCATTTAAAACTGGTGGGGTCGGACATAACTGCCTGGCGAGCCCAAGTGATAGACCCTGACGTGAAAATCATAACATGCGTGTCATGCAAATCGTGCCTACACGCCGTGCTCACGGTGCGCTTGCAGTCATTTCGCTAGTTTCACGTATACCAAATGTGGTATTACGGGACGGGAATGTAGGACGAAGGTGTATGACTGGTTCATACATAATACTCATGACATGCGTTTCATGTAAGAAGAAGACAACATACAAGGCTCATTATGCGCTCGCGAAATTTCCGCAATTTTCACATATACCAAATTTGGTATTACGTGAGGCGAACGGACGACGAAGATATATGACACGCCCAAACATGATAATCAGGACATGCGTGTCATGAACAACCTGACCACATGCGACGCTCATGATACGCTCGTCGCATTTTCGATAACTTAACATATACCCAATTCGGTACTACACCACATGACTGAATGACGAAGATACTTGACATGTGAAAACATGATAATCATGAGTGTCGTGTCATGTAAGAACATGGCTACATGCCACGCTCATCACGCACTCACCGCCGTTTCGCTAGCTTCAAATATAACAAATTAGGTGTTACGTTCCGCTAACGGATGACAAAGGTAAATGACACGTTGAAACATGGTAATCATAACATGCGTGTCAGATAAAACATAACTACATGCTACGCTTATAGCACGCTCGCGGCCGTTTCGCTGGCTCCACACATACAAAGTTTTGGTATCACGTGACGTGAAACGACGACTGTTTTAAATGACACGTCCAAACATGATAATATGACATGGAAGTCATGTACGGCATAATTTATGTCCGCTTCGTAATGTTTCGCTGATTTTAAAGTGACATATTCCCCTTCCTATTCGTGCTTCCCGTAAAAAACGATTTCAACTAGATGTGGGATGTGACAACTTTTTGACTCTGGTGCCACAGTGCCTGTTTGTGGTTGGCTATAGCTCAGTAGCCACTGTGCCGCCATGCATTCTATTTAACGTGTT